GAGCAGTACAAAATAATACTAAATATGCTTCTTTCTGTCATATTCTATCACATAAGCCAAGCTGACCAGTCCCGGTCCTGCAGTTTGACCGGAACCGGTTGATAAGTCTCGACCGGACCGGACCGGACCGGTAACCGGCGCCCGGTCGCCTGGTCCGGTTGCATCTCTGCTTTAGGTGCATTTGTCAGATGAATAGTAACGTTGGACAAAACCTTTGTTCTTTTTCCAGTTCTTACCGATTCTGTCAGACGATTACCTTGTGGATCCCGTTGCATATAAAACGATTTGATTTCAGTTGGAAAATGACAAAATAAAATTGATTTACGATAACTAAGGAGAGAACACGAACGTCTTTTTATTTAAAAGGCATTTAAAAGTCTTGAATTTGTTTTTGATAAATGAGAACTGTTAAATATTTCAAGAGCTTTTAAATAATGTTCAAGTACTAACTGATATTCTTTTTCTTTCTCATATATCGTTGCGATGTCTGATAAATTGTACCAAGATGAGCATGTGGAAATGGTTCAATAAAAAGTCGAAACGTCCGGTTAGTGTGATCGGTATGCACATGCACTGTCTCTTAATTGCAATATATTGCACGTTGAATCTTAACAATGAACGGAATCTAAGTCTTTGTATTTCGGCATAAATAGTGCCTCTACTTTCATTGTTCCTGACGAGCCAATAGCAACCAGTCTTTCAGCAGTGTTGTAGAAAACTTGCCATTTTTTGGACGATTCGGCTGTCCAGGTCATATTTAACAGCCAACTTTTCAATTTTGGATAATCGAAATTAGCTGGTATAGGTATACTTACTACCTAGGTAGTCTAGTAGAACCGTTGGTAGATGATAGTAACAGGATCAAGAGAAATAGATATCGCTTTTTACCCTGTTTCGTCGAAATACTTTTTCGCCCATGCTGCGGCACTCAGATCTGTGTAACAAGTATATAAATTAGATATTCTCGGATAATAAATAAAAATATGTAAACACATTTCATCTGTTGTGTCCGTACCACCCTTGATAATGAACAAAATAATTTTGATATTTTAAAAAGCGGTTGTAAAACAAATACTTGATAATCAATAAGTAATGCTCAGCTTCGACCTTCTGGTCACAAGACCCTCAGGTAATAGTTTCGGTTAAAAAACCACATCTAAGGATCGAAAGTATAATTGGGATGAAGAAGTGTAATAGAACATTGAATTGTCACAGCCCAGAAGAGGAATCTGTTGAGAAGGAAAAGTAATTGCATCTGTGGGCAGTCGAGCACCTTCGTTCTCTGGCTCTCCGAATAACCGGGGTATCCGCGGAAGGTTCCAGCAAATAACAAAACTCAACTAATGCCACGATGATTCACCATGACAAAGTGTGTAACAATACATTTTAAAACCGCTCACTCATGCACTTCTACAAATGCTATATAAGACAGGCTTAAGAAAATATAAGGGGTACTCTAAGCTCCCAAATACTCGGGAGCTTCACAGCAAACCGGTGGGTCAATGTCGTTCATGTCTAAAATGTCCATTGGTTTTCTCGTTAATCACTCCATTTTATATATCATGCGATAGAGAATTTCGCGAGCTACAAAATGAGCTATGAATACGTCTTTCAAAAGTATGCACACATTGGTCAATAGTTCAAATACTTGGCCAATATAATGATTTTCATGTATCTTAGTGCTTTGAACACTCTCTAATTCTCTAGGCTAAGCTGATTCGGTATCTGAAAATTTTTGATTCAATCTTGTTAACTGTGCTTCTGCAACTAATGAAAAGTTTTGCGAATTTGTGGTTGAAAAGTGAACAGAAAAATAATTTATCCTCCTCCATTTGAAAGAGACATACAAACACTTCTAGTTTCTACAATTATTTAATTTCAGGCATATTCTGTTAGGAGAAAAATATATTCGAGGAGAGTGAAAGTTGCCAGTGGCTTTATGGCGACGTTTGCTAGTTAGATTTTTTCTCACTCAAACTTAATCAGAACAAGGCTTTTTCTGTACGTTTTACAAACTTCCGACTTGGCTTTTTCTAATGGAAAAATAATTGACTGTCCAGTACATCGGCAACATAGTGAAATAATGCTCGACATTTGCCATTATTTTTGCACCGTATGTCATGATAACATATATGCAGCACTGCTGGGAGTAAGAATTCACTTGAAATATCCCATTGGATTTACTAAATATTATAAGTGAATTGTGAATATGTCGGTAGTTTACGACGAGTGAATGTAGCTGCTATAAGTAGAGATTTGGATGGACTACCGGTGCACAGCAACCGTTGAGTAAAAAAGCTGGCTTGGATGGGTTAACAATTGGATCAAGTAGCTGCAAGCGCCCGCTTCACGATCGTTTTCTGCCTGGGTAGTTGCAAGGATGTTTCATTCTTACCTGGACTTATCCCCAATGCTCTCCATCATTTAGTATTCATATGCAATTCAAATGTAATTCGATCTTCATCAATAAGCCAGAAAAGATCTACTATTTCATTTTGCAGTACCACTGAATATGCGTAATTCAACATCGGTTTTATCGCGCTCGAAAGACAGTGGCATAGCTAGACAAATAAAAGAATGTGTAATAACTAAAATATCATATGAAGTGGAGTTAGTGTATGAGATTAAGAATATTTTCTATTACTTCAAGTGGCAGATACATTTAAGCGATGTATCGTACTTTAGTGCGGAATATTTAACTATTCTTTTATGTAATATTGTAGGCAGTGTCTTATGTTTATCTCATAGGCATCCATCTTTGATCAATGAAGCATGATTTTATTAGCAATAATCACCAAAGTAAACAATCTATTCAACGATAAATATCGTCATCAAGGTGAGAAATGTGTAAATTATATTTTTATTTTCTAAACTGTGTAAATTGCTATTTCTTTTCTAACTTCTCGCGTTAGGTTTCGAAGAGCAATTCTATCTGCTTCAAAATGGTAACGGTAATATATTTCCGAGCTTTTCGAATATATTTTAGTTTCCCAAGATGTATTGAGGTAAACCGGTTTATATTTATCTCTGGTAATATATTTTGTCAGTCTGGATTTAGTGCAGAAATAAATTTAATATACAACTCATACCATTCCGTCGCTGTCAGTTCATTTTGTTTAGTTTTCCAAAAAACCTGCAGTCACAATAAAATAACTTGATATAAAGATCATGCTGTTATAGGGAAGAGACCATCTGTCTTGAATACTATACTTTCAATTTATTTGAATTAGGCCAGTGATCACTCGACCCAAAGCTTAGTGTTTCGCTTTTAATACTTTTAAAATTTACAAAGGTAAAATCTATATTTCTCTCCGATATTTTATACGAATTTTTAGAGTTCTCAACGTACTCCAAACTATTTTCGTCTATCCACTCTTTTAAAATATTACCTCTACTATCAGAATAGGGCGTATCCCATTCCTCTACAGCTGCATTGAAATCCCCAGAAATGACCGTATTTTTGATTAACAATGGTTTTATATCATCCAAATCACTTTTTGAACCGCGTTGTTAACGAGAATTTGTTGATTATACAATGACTAACCGGTTCTTTTGCTTTGGCAAATTGTAGCTGTGATTCGAATATGTTGGTATTCGAATTGCCATCTCAAGCATAATGAGCTGTTGAGAGTCATAATTAGTCAGTTTTTGCTAGTGATACGAGTAATTGATTTAATTTCTTAAAAATTTATTTTAAAAACTTAAATTTTCTGCAGTCAGGCTAGGTTAACTTATAATTGCATGATTTATTTCTTTGTTTAAAGGCTCCTAATACTCCTCTTCTTTATTTGTCTGACCATTCTGTTTAACATGCCTTTTCTGTCGCGCATAATCCCAGTTTTCATCAAGTTAGAGCTTCGCAGCCTTGTCTACTTCCCTTTGAATAACTGATTCTTCCGTTCAGTATGTAAACAACTGATATATTTAAGTAAGTTCCAGAAATACATTTGTTGGGGTAATGTGTTAAAAAGCTTTTATAAAGAAAGAATGTTTGTGAAGAAATAATCACAAGCAGTGGTCTACACCTAATATAGTTTTATTAGGGGAGTTGTCTAGAGAATAGCGCTTTTGTATGACCTTGGACTCTTTGATGTTCATCTGTGATTTGCTCGGCCTCTTCGTTGTGCGCTGAGTGTACGAGTATTTCTGCGCAGAGCAAATACTTATGAATAGTAAATAGAAAATTAAAGTTTTTATTTTAAATAGGCTTTTATCAACATAAGCTAAAATTTTAGTTTGTCCTAATAGGAACTTCAATCCATAAAAAATTAAAATTCGATGAAAAGACAAAAACATTGATGTTGCTCCTTGTGGCAGTTGCGAATGATAATGTGATTCGAAAACTAATAGTTATACATCGTTTTTATGAGTTATTATAATCAATCGATTTTTCAGTTTAAAATAAAACATATTTCATTTATTCAAGTATATTGTTAGAAGATATAATGATTCGTTTAACATCTAATATGCAGCCTTGACCAAAAATCTTATTCTCCTTCTTACCAGATTCATCAAAGAACTTGACTTCATGTTCGCTACTTCTGCAATTTATGTACTGTAGAATTTGAGGGTTGTCACTATGTTTGGATAGCCGCACCAATGGTAGTTGCTCAGGAGTAGTATACTCGATATTTCGATCCGTATCTAAATGTCTTGCACAAGGATACCAGTCCAATATCGTCATTGTTCCTACAGCTATTTCTAACTGCTCAGGAAACACAAGTTTTTCTTTTCCTCCAAAATCACAGCAGATACATTCTGTTTGTTCAGGTTTATAACCAACTTTATCAATCGTATATTTGATTTCATTGTCGACTAACCACGTTATTGACTTTTTTATTAAATCAAAACGAATGGAGAAATTGAGAAAATCGTTTTGGTTTTTTCTAGTATAGATTGGAATAGCGGCTGAAAATGATGCATAATAATTCTCTGCAGTTCTTCCAAATGGTAATCGCTCGTACACTGCGAATACTTTTGTATTTGTTAGTAAAATATCGGCTATGAGCCAGATATTTTGATCAAAGCATACGAGACCACATGTTGCTAGTCTTAAATCATCATGCATGTGATCAATGGAAGGAAACAAAGACCGGAACGGGTTATCTTCAGTTACACCATAAACATACGGTCGCATCGTTGCATTAACACTGAGAGTATCAGCTGACGTGAGTTTTATTGGTGGCAGGACGAACAGTGACTTAATGTGATCCAAATCAACCATAGGAGAATTTTCTTCTTCATAAGTCGTATATGGATTGTTATTAATACGCACGTATTGGCCACTCACGTGCTTGATGTCTACTTTACCAGCAGTGAACGTACCCATAGAAAATGTAGTAAATGTTGAAGGATCATTAACACCAGATTCTTGCTTTTCAACGATGTTAAATCGATCTTTATCAGCAAAGTCTAATGATACAAGGATACGTTCGTGCGACATAATTATATTTGAGTAATCGCTGCTGTCTTTGGTTTTACCTATATGCTGATTCGCTTGAATAAACTTTAACTTTGTCCTATATAGATCAAAGAGAGAGCGTTAGTAGCGACGTTTATTAAAAGTGAAGGTTAGACTCGTGAAACAACTAGATTTATTATCTTTTTACCGGTAATAAGTAACAACCGTTTATTACTTTTACCGGATAATGTAATAATTAGTAAAAGTAAAGTAGCACGCCTATTCATGACCTAACAAGGATTCTTTTTTATTCATCGAAAACTATCATGTAAACAATAAGATAAAAGAAAAAGCGTATTTTATTATTGATCTTTAGAATCAAATATACAATGGATGATTGACAACTGAAATGGAACATTTATCACACGTTTTTCTAAAATGTCATCAATAAATTATATCTTCTAGATAATAATTGTAAAATAAAATGTTCAAAAAAGTGTTCGAACATCAATGGGTGTCAAGACAGAAAGAATTTTGAGTTGCTTTTACAAATAGCTACTTCACATACACATTTTCTCTTTGATGGACAAATTTATTGTCAAACGAATGGGTTAGCCATAGGTTCTCGTCTAACATCCATTCTTGTGAATATATTCATGTGTCATCTTGAGGAGTCGCTATACTCTAAACTTCAGGATGCAGGGGTAAAATATGGTTTAAGATACGTCGATGATACCTTTCTATTACTAGATTCAAAGGTGTCACCTTATAATATATTAAAATTACTTAGCTCATTTCATCCAGATATAAACTTTACTTTTGAAAATGAAAATAATGATATACTCTCATTTCTTGATGTTCAAGTCATACGCTCGAGCACAAAATATCAAACTACTATATATAGGAAAAAGACGTTTTCGGGGTTATTAACTAAATGGACCTCTTATCTTCCATTTAACTATAAAACTGGTTGTATAATTAGTATGGTAGTTCGTGCTATACGTATGTGTTTGACATATAAACTTTTAACAGAGGAACTAGGAGAAATTAGACGCTTAAGTAAATTAGATGGATATCCACCGACGTTTACTGATAAGTTAATTGGAAAATTGATAAATACACATTTGACTAAAACTGATAACATTGAAAAAACCGTAAATAATTCACCCAAAAAACGATTGGTTGTCGATATTCCAAATATCTAACAAGCGTCGAAAGTTTTGAGTTGAAAATTAAAAAGATTCACAGAAACTATTAAACCTGATATTGATTTAAAGTTATTTTAAGGCCACCTAAATCTGTAGGCAGTTTCTTCCACACGACAAAGTTAAGCTTGCATGCTAGTTATGCGCGCATAAGTTGTGAACACTTGTAATCCTTTGGTCTGATACATTCGACTAGCCAGCGGAAAGAGGTTCAGCGAAGCACACGGAATATTAGACAGTTTTCACATCATCGGCCTTCCATTTCCCCTAACTGTTGAGTTTGATTAGATGAGTGCAGTCGACTATTCATGGCACGATACTCGATCGATTTCATCGTGGAAAGTGTTCAAGCTCTCTGGTAGACAAGAGGGTATAAAACCCGCGCATTTCAACGCATAAAAAAGCGTTTTACAGCTTGTCCAAACGTAACGCAATCACGTTTTTGACTCACTTTTTTTCATTTTTTTCTAAAATTGCATGGGCTAGAAGGTTCGTTTAAACGTGATTCGACGTGGCTCCAGATTCTCCGCCTTCAGT